CGACGTCGAGACATTACCGCTTGAAGAATGAGTCGCCAAATGAGAAAGAATTGAAAAGTCCAGAAAAGTCTATAGAAGTTAATGGGGAAGAAAGAGGCCGTGGGAAGACCATTAACTGTTAACAATTTATGGTAAGAGGTTTTTATAAGTATCGCGCGGGTGGAGAAGTTAAGAAGCGGGCTTTTTTTTTCTTTCTTTCTTTTCTATCTTTTTCTTTGAGAGAGAGAGAGGGAGAGAGGAAAGAGGGAAGGAAGGAGGGAGGGAGGGAAAGAAGGCGAGGAAGAGAAAGAAATAGAGAGAGGGGGGGGGGAGGTGCGAAAGAGAGAGACAGAGAGCGAAAGGAAGGGAAGGGAAAAGATGTTTTGTAAGACAAACAATAACCAAATGGTCACATGACGTTGTTGTTGTTTGTTTGTCTATCTACTTGACTGTCTGTCTTTTTCTATACTTGATTCAAGCAACCGGAAAAAATGCCTTTTTTTCTTTCCTCTTCTTGTCGGTCGCCCTTTCGCTAAAATAACTATTGCCGACGCTTTTTGACTTGACTCGGACCGAAGACCATTAAGCATTTTTTACTCCATTTCCTTTGTTATTGTTGTTGTTGTTTTCCAGCTTTTTATTTCCTTCACACACGTATCTCAAACACACCAGAAAAAAAATAGACAAAAAAGAAACAAGAACAAAAAAATAAACATAATTCATCTTTTTTTTTCTTTCTTACTATTTTTTATTCCTTGCTCAATTTCATTCACTTTCCGAAGCCTCTTAAATCTTTTTTTTTTTTGTCTTTCCTTCTTTCTTGCCTCTTGTTTATTCCTTGCTTAGTTTCTTTCACTTTCCAAAGCCTCTTAAATCCTCTTTGTTTGTCTTTCCTTCAAACACCCCTTCCCCCTCCACCTCCTCCCTCTCCTAACAGCTTCTTCTCCTCTCTCCTAACACCCCTTCTCCTTCTCCTAACATCTTCTCATCTTCTCCCCCTCTCCTCCTCCACCTCCTCCACCTCCTCCTCCTCCTCCTCCACACACCCCTTCCCCCTCCACCTCCTCCTCCACTATTCTCATCCTCCCTCTCTCTCCTTCTCCTCTCCTCCACCTCTTCCCTCCATCCTCCTCCTCCTCCTCCACACACCCACCTCCCCCTTCTAAATCACACACACCCCTTCCCTCCACCTCCTCCTCCTCCTAGCACCTTCTCATCTTCTCCCTCTCTCCCGCAGGTCTCCTGGATACGCCACAGGGACATCCACCTCCTGACGGTCGGTCGATTCACCTACACGTCAGACGACAGGTTCTCCGCCCTTCACTCCGTCGGCTCCGAGGACTGGCTCCTGAAGATACACTACCTGCAGGAGAGAGACGCTGGGAAATATGAGTGCCAGATCTCCACCACGCCGCCGATGAGCCACCAAATACACCTGGCTGTTGTTGGTGAGTTTGTTGTTTGTGTTGTTTTTTTTTTTTTTGAGGTTGAGTGTTGGAGTAGGGGAGGAGTGAGGTTGGAGTGTAGGGGGTGAGTGTTGGAGTGTAGACAGGGGAGGTGAGTGGTAAAGTGGGGAGGAGTGAGTGTGGAGTGTAGGGAGTGTTGGAGTAGGGGGGTGAGTGTGGAGTGTAGGGGGGGTGAGTGTTGGAGTGTAGGGGTGAGTGTTGGAGTGAGGGGAGGAGTGAGTGTTGGAGTGTGGGGGGGGAATGTTGGAGTGTGTTTGTTGGTGCTGTTGGTGAGTGTCCTGTTCCTTTTACTTATGGAGATGGTGAGTGTTGTTATCAAAAATATCTTTATCTATTTTTATCAACCTATTTTTTTCACTGTCCTTCTTTCCTTACTTCACCAAAAAATGTGTTCATCTATTTTTATCAACCTATTTTTTTTAAGTTCTTCTTTCCGTACTCCATCTATCAAAAATGTGTTTATCTATTTTCATTATTCATTTTATTATCACCCGCACCCTCTCTGTTGACCCCCACGCGATCCGGTTCAGTTCAGAATAAACAAAATGAAAACGCTCGTAAAATTAAATTGTTCCCGCGAATCAATGGACTTTAGTACTGAGAAGAAAGAAGAAAAAGAACATTTACCTTACTTTTACCTTCTTTGCATTTGTCCTTGGTTATTTATTCCCCTTTTTTACCTTTTTATTCGAACTTTTACCTTACTTTACCTTCTTCGCCTCTGTCCTTGTTTATTTATTTCCCTTTTTTCCCCTTTTATTCGCACTTTTACCTTACTTCTTTGCCTCTGTCCTTGCTTATTTATTCCCCCTTTTACCTTTTTATTCGATCTCTTGCCTATCCACGCTTTCTGTATCCATTTCCTAACCCATCCACCCACCCATATCCACTAACACCCTTCCTTGCCAACTCATCTAACTCCTTCCCATATCCATTTGCTCTCTCCCTTGTTTATTTCCCTTCCTTACCCATTCGTTCCTCCTTTTCCACTTACTCTCTTATTTATCCATATCCTTTCTTTAATCATTCGTTCCTCCCTTGTCCACTTACTCTGTTATTTATTCATTTCCATTCTTTATTATTTCGGTCCTTCCTTGTCCACTTACTCTTGTTTTCCCCCTTACCCATTTCTCCACCCATTTCCCCCTTACCCATTTATCCACTTATTTTCCTCCTTACCCATTTTCCAATTAATTTCCCCCTTACCCACCCTCATTTTTCCTCCTTACCATTCATTCATTTTCCTCCTTACCCATTTATCCACTCATTTTCCTCCTTACCCATTTACCCATTCATTTTCCCCCTTACCCATTTACCCACCATTTTCGCCGTACCAATTTACCCACCCATTTTTCCCTTACCCATTTTCCCCCTTATCATCTATCCACTTATTCTCCTCCATACCCATTTTCCCCTTACCTATCACCCATTACCCCCCCCCCCATTAACCCAGCCCGGCGAAGAGGGAACCCGGTTCTTTTATTGCTTATTCCTTCCATTTATTTCGGTTTTATTATATGCACTCACGGATTTATTATCTATTTATTAACTACGATCACGTGAGTTATCAACAAATCTCTCTTATTCCGTCTTCGCAACGATATAACTTTTTAAATAATCATAAAGAAATAAATAGCAAAACACATTAAAGAAAAAATCGATGTAAATTAAAAAACGAAAAACATTCAATTAAATTATTCAGCGAATAATGAAGACGAAGCCAAGGCCAGGCGATAGATTTCTCTCTCTCTCTCTCTCTCTCTCTCTCTCTCTCTCTCTCTCTCTCTCTCTCTCTCTCTCTCTCTCCTCTCTCTCTCTCTCTCTCTCTCTCTCTCGCTCTCTCTCTCTCTCTCTCTCTCTCTCTCTCTCTCTCTCTCTCTCTCTCTCTCTTCTCTCTCTCTCTCTCTCTCCTTTGTTCTCGATCCGATCCAGAGAGAAATGATGTTGAGGATGACTCGTTATTCTCAAAGAAGTTGTGACTGGAGAGGGTCTTGTTGCCTTCGGAGGAAATTGCTTTGGGTGAGGCTACAGGGGGGGATGGATAGAGGTATCCTTGTTTCGGTATGTATGTGTGTGTGTGGTGTGTGGTGTTGGGGTTGTGTGTGTGTTATGTGTCACATATATATACATATATTTATACATAGTATACATATATAATTATCGAACATACATCCTCCTTCTCTCTTTTCTCCTCTCCTCTCCCTCTCTCACTCTCTTCTCTCTCTCTCTCTCTATTATATATATTATTATATATACTATATATATATATATATATATATATATATATATATTATATTATATATATATATATAGTATGTATATATATATTATATATATATATATATATATATAATATATATAATATATATATATATATATTATATATATATTATAATATATATATTATGTATGTATGTATATGTATATATATTATAATATATATATATATATTATATATATATATATATATATATATATATATATATATATTATATAGTATGGCATATAAGAGCTGAGTGCTCGTTGCAGGCAGAGCGGCGTCTGGCGTGAGGCAGAATCTTACGTTGGTGAAACAGACTCCATGATGCACTGCTTGTAGAGCTTATTGGAGGGAGACCGGCACAGCTGATGGACAGAGGTCTAGAGCGATCAGTATGGCGGTGGCTGTCTGTCTGTCACTCGCAGTCGACCCTTGTTATATACAGGTTGACGTGGAATGTTGAAGAGGGACCGCTTAGTTCGACAAGGAAGAGAGAGAGAGAGAGAGAGAGAGCGAGAGAGAGAGAGAGAGAGAGACGAGAGAGAGAGGAGAGAGAGAGAGAGAGAAGAGAGAGAGAGAGGAGAGAGAGAGAGGAGACGAGAGAGAGAGAGAGAGAGAGAGAGAGAGAGAGAGAGGAGAGGAGAGAGAGAGAGAAGAGAGAGAGAGAGAGAGAGAGGTGTCTGTGTAACGGAGTGCTTTCACAAGACGGAAGACTTGTGGAATGTCGCATCTGGTGAATGCTGGGCGGATAGTGGGATAGTGCAACGGGAACAACGAAGGGAAGGGCAAGAAAACACACGAATATGCCTATTCGTGTGTTTTCTTGCCCTTCCCTTCGTTGTTCCTGTTGCAATCTGTTCACCATGAGTTCCACACGTGTGGGATAGTATAATTGTATAGGGTGTGTGTAAGGGTATGTAATATAATATATGTGTGGCAATAGTAGAAGGGGAAAAGGGCGACTCTCTGTACGTAAGTGTCATGAGGGGAGGCCTGAGAAGTCTTAGCTTCGAGTGCCAGGGTCCCTGAGGTGCTGTGAAGGGGCGTGTGGAATGGTGTGTGTACGTATGGGCAACGTAGGTATTATATATATATATATATATATATATTATATAATATATATATATATATATATATATATATATATATATATATATATATATATATATATACATATATATATATATATATATATATATATATATATATATATAATATATATATATATATATATATATATATATATATATATATATATATATATATATATATATATTATTATATATATGTATACA